ATTTTTTCCATCATGTCCTACTCTTCATAACCCTATTTAGGGTTGTCTTGGCAAAGATACTGGAGTAGTTTCCCATTTCCTTATCCAACTCATTTTACAGATGAGGAAACTGAGGCAAACAGGGTGAAGGGACTTGTCCAGGGTCATACAGCTAGTATCTAATGTGGATTTAAACTCAGCAAAATTAATCTTCCTGACTTTAGCCCTGCACTATTTTTTTTTTTGGCTAAGCAATGGGGTTACACAGGGTCACACAGCTAGTAAGTATCAAGTGTCTGAGGCTGGATTTGAACTCAGGTCCTCCTGACTCCAAGGCCAGCGCTCTATCCACTGCACCACCTAGCTGCCCCAGCCCTGAACTATTAAATAGCAATAATGAGGAATAATATTTTCAAGTGCATAGAATACATAGAATTACAGCGTGAAAGTATACTAAAAACCTTTTTAAACTCAACTTAAAATACAATATTTTCATTAGCTTAAAATCCTTTCTAGACTTCTCTCTTCAGGAAAGTGGTTTAGAACAAAAGCTAAATCCATCCACTTAAATAGATATCTGGTGTAAACTAAATTTTTCTCATTATCTTATGTTTGACTTATCTTGTTAAAATTTATTACCTTCCTTATCCCCTAAAGTCCTTACTCTTCTACACACCTGGGAATAATGTACTAACTACTATAATAATATACTAGTCTACTTTGAGAAAGAATTAAGATAGGGATCCCAGGAAAAGAGACTCTTTGAGTGAGTCCTTTCTTGTCCTTCGTTTTGAAGAGGACTAAAATGACATCACTGTTAGCACAGTCAAGTTTTAGTGTGGCTATAGACTGTGGCTGATCAGATCAATACAAGCGCAGAATGTCCTACCACAGGTCTAGCACAAATAGTCTGTGTGAACCTTTGGAGTGGATTCTCTAAATTTGTTCATCTTGCATTTCTCTTGAGCTATTTCAATTCTGCTTTGTTCATAGAGCACAGTACCTTTTCTGATGTGGGCACACCATGCTGACTGGTCCTATGCGAGTATCTCTCAGGTCACACAAAGTAGTGAAAAAAGGCAAAGAGTAGTTATTAAGTGACTATTCGCAGAAGTTATCCCCTGTTCACCCTCAGCTCCCTGAGGGCAAGAACTATCTTTTTGCCTTTCTTTGTATAGAGTATAGAGGGCCATCCATGGCTATGGGAGGTCTATGCCATTTCTCTCTTTATCTAGGTATGTTTGATATTCAATTGATGCTAAATTACATGGTTTCCAGCACACTTTGTGCCTAAAATGCAGGATACAGTATTAATACTTTCTTCAACAAAAGGAAATTAATTACATTCAATTAGAGTTACCAAAATATTTTTTTGTTTTGTTTTTAGGCAATTGGGGTTAAGTGACTTGCACAGGATCACACAGCTAGTAAGTGTCAGGTCTGAGGCCAGATTTGAACTCAGGTCCTCCTGACTTCAGGGCCGGTGCTCTACCCACTGTGCCACCTCGCTACCCCATCAAAATATTTTTAAAACAAGTTCACAGACCCCAGGTCAAGAACTCATCGATAGACAAAGTGACTAGACATTGTAATGTTGTAGATCGTGTGATTGTGTGAAAGATAAAAGAATTCATCGACCATCACATTTATACAGTGCCATACAATTTAACAGTTGTTTCCTTACAACTACCAAGGGTTGGCAATGCAAGCATTATTATACCATTTTACAGATTAGATGTTTCTTAAAGAACTTCAGAGAAGTCAACTGACTTTTCCATAGTCAACCAGCTAGTCAGAAAAAAATACAAGAATCAATAATAATACAACAACTTATATATATATAACAACTACTATGTGACAGAAACTGTGCCACGTGCTTCAAAAATATTATCTCATTTGATCCTCACAATTCTAGGAGGTAGGTGCTATTATTATTCCCATTTTATAGATGAGGAAATAGGCAGAGGTTAAATGACTTGCCTAGGGTCACACAGTTAGTAAGAGTCTAAGGCCATATTTGAATTCAGGTCTTCCTGACTCCAGGCCCAGGATGCTACCTACTTCACTGTCTAGCTGTAGTCTTTAGTTAGCAGTCATTCTTATCACTGTCTTCTCTTTAACTTATCTTGTTAAAATGTATTACCTTCCTTATCCGCTAAAGTCCTTACTCTTCCACAAGCCTGGGAACAATGCACTAACTGTTCTCCTTTGAGAAAGAATGAAGATATGGATCCCAAGAAAAGAGGTCTACCTACAGGATGGTCTATGCCCTCTAAAAGCTTATGTGTGCACAGCTTTAAAATGTAAGGGCAAAACACATGACACACTACAAAAAAGATAAGCATTGAGCTATATACCACCAAATAAAAATATAACAGACATATGATATCAAAAATTAACATTCTATACAAGTTCCATGCTTGTGATTTGTGTTGTACAAATGTGATGTTTCTTAGATTCAAGTGATGGGCATGATAAACATTTACCGCATGTTTTTACCATCTCTTTTGACTTTCTTTTTGAACAGTGAGAGGTGAAAAGATTTTTTTGAAAGATGACTTTTGAAATAAGACTTCTTGAAAGGTGAAAAGATTCACTGTTTTTTCCCCTTTACCTTCTAGACTAAAAATCATGTAGGAAAAAGAGAAAAGTGAAAGATATTGGTAGCTATCACTAAAAAGAGGCTTTGAAAAGGGCAAGGTAGGAAGATTTTGTGGTAATAGAGTTTGAGTACTGAGAGTTTGTGAGCCATTGCAGCTCAACGTAGTTAAAAAAAAACCCTCAGGATAGAGCTCTAGGACCAAAAACCCACTCTGATACTTGCTGTGTGACCGGAGTAAGTCACCTAACCTCTCAGGGCCTGTTTTCTTATCTATTAAATGAGAGGGTGTCAAATTCAAATAGACTATTTTGTCAAATTTTCCTAATGACATTTCAATTTCCTTAGTGCAGGACTTGGGAGTGTTGACTGCAGCCCCAGGCTTCCTATTAGACACCTCTGGACCAAATCATGGATTCCCAACTGTGGGATGCCTGAATGAAGGGGAAAGGGGTGGGGGAAAATAGTAGAATAGAAAGAGAACAACTTCATGAAATGGAAAAAATGCCACTTATCAAATCAAATAAAAGGTTTATGAAAAATTAATCTCATTTGCTTATGTGCATCTATGCATGGTGAACTCTAGAATTTTATTCCTTTACTATTGAATAGGGTTATTGGAAGGTTTTCTGAAAGCCAAAGTGTCCTGGGTCAAAAATGATTGTGAACCACTAGGCTGAGGGATCTATAAGGTTCCTGACAATTCTAAATCCTTTGGTGGCGTGATAAACTTTGAAAGGGTAAAATGAAGAGTTTTCTTAAGCTACAGGTTGTGGGCCAGGAAGTCAGGATGATCTGAGTTTGAATTCCCACTGTTGGCATTTAATAAATGTGTGACCATGGGCAAAGTCACTTCTCTAAACCTCCCTTTCCTCTCACATGTAAAAGGGAAATAGATAGATGAAAGATAGATAGATGGATAGAGACAGATGGACAGATAGATAGATAGATAGATAGATAGATAGATAGATAGATAGATAGATAGATGGATGGATGGATGGATAGATAGATGATGGAAGGACAGATAGGATGGATAAGATAAGATCCAGATATATAAGAGATCAGTAGTCTAGATGGATAGGATGAAGTCAGATCATATGGATTCTATACAATGATAGGATAGAAAGACAGTATAGAAGGATAGCTCAGTAGACCTAAATAGATAGAAGGATAGATAGGTATGTAGGTGCATATAGCTTGATAGATAATTAATCAATAGGATAGGATAGAATAGATGACGGGATAGATAAGTAGATATACATAGGATAAATACATAGAAAGATCCATTGATGATAAAGATAGAAGGATAAGTAGATATAGATAAGCTAGCTAGATTAGATTGCTATGGATAGGTAAGTACATAGGATAGACATATGGATCAACAGAGAGATGGGTAAATGGAAGAGATGGGTAAAGAGAGCCTTTATTAAGCATCCGCTATGTACCAAACCCAGTGCTAAGCAGAGGGGAATATAAAATAAAATAAACTCGAATTAACGTATGTGAAACACTCTGCCAACCTTAAAAAGTGCTCCATAAACGCTAGGCTATTACAAAAATTAATTACATTCTAATGGGGAAAGAAAATACTTAGCGTTATGAAACTCACATTTAAAAAAAGTGTACGCAGATTTGGCTTGTTGAGGTCACTTAGTCCAATTCTTTCATTTTACAGGTCCAGAGAAGTCAACAGACCTCTTATCCAGGGAGTAAGAGGCAGAGGTGGCATTCGAACTCACTTCTGCCTCCAAACTCCGCTGTAGGGCAGCGGAGCCTCGCCCCGCCCAGCCTCCGGACTCCTTCGTAAAACGAGGATCGTGGCTGTAACCGAGTGCCTGGGGGCCTTCCCCTCCGCCCCCGCCCCGGCACGCTCCGGGGTCTAGAACTTTGAGCAAGCCCGAGATGCAGCGGTCTCCTTCCGAGGCTCGCTGCGGAAGGCATCCCCTACCCGGCCAATCCCCGGGCTCCCCGCGTTCCATCCATTGTGCGATACACCCGGGAAAGGCTGGGGTTGGAGGGGGGCAGGGAGCCGAAGGGAGGGTCTGCTCCAGGGCACCAGCAGGGAGACAAAGCTCGGGAAGCTCCGTCAGCTCTCGGGTGCTGACAGGTTCGCTTGGGCGTGCTGCGAGGCTCGAGACTCCCGGTGCCGACGCCAGGGGGCGTTGTGACGGCGGCGTGGGAAGCGGAGGTGGGGGGGAGGGCCGGGCCGGAAGACAACGAGGCCAGGGATTCCCGGCAGCGGCGGCGCTGCGGCGCGGCGGGCGTAGCGTAGATCGTCCCGTGGAACGTCGGCGCGCCCCCGACTTCCAGGTTCCGGTTCGATCTCTTTGGTGACGCCCGGCGCGTTCCTTCCTCTTCCTCCCGCCTCCCCTCCCCCCCTTCCCTTCCCTCTCCCTCCTTCCCTCCCTCCCCGACGAGGAGCCGGAGCCGCCGCCGCTGCCGGTCATGTCCGCCCCTGCCGGCGCCCCGCACCCCCACGCCGCCGCCAGCGCCAGGATCCCGCCCCGGCTCGGAGCGGCGGCCGCCCCCGCCGGCCCGAGCTCGGCGCCGCACTACCAGAACGGTGAGGCTGGCCGCGAGAGGGGGAGGCGGGGGTGCGGCGCGTGGGGCCTAGGGCGCGGGAGGGCGGCCGGGGGCTCCGGCCTGGCCTGGGGAAGGCAGCCGGGCCGGAGGGCCTGGCGGCACGCGGGGCCGGAGACCGCGTCGGGAGGCCCGGGCTCGGCTCTGGGCGAGGCAATCCCCCGGGGTCAGGGGGGCTCGGCTCCCCGGGGCTGCCGCGAGACGGAAGGGGGCGGCAGCCTGGATTCTGCGGCGCGGCTGCGGAACGAGGCGCAAGTTCGGGCTTAAGTTTGCAGACAATTGCGCATCAACGTGCAACGTGGGTGCAACTGGACCCCTGACCCACTTGGGCCGCGCTGGGGGCGGCGGCGGCGGCTGCGGCTGCTCCCCCTCCTCGGGGGGCAGCTCAGCTCCTTGGGGGATTCGGAGTTTGTTGCTCTTGACACCTGCTCCTTCTCGAAAGGAAACTCCCCGTCCTGCAAGTCTGTCTCAGAAATGCATGGGGGGAGGGGAACGAGCAACGATCAATCTCCCTCTCTCCCTCCCCCCTTTCTGTTTCTCCCTCTGCCCCTGTTTATCTCTCCTACTCTATCCAGGGATCTGTTTTTGTCCCCCCCACCCCCAGCTCCCTGTCTGCCATCGTGTCCCCTCCCTCCCTCTGTCATTGTGTCTCTGTTTCCCTCTCTTCTTTCCTGCCTCTGTGAATGTCTGTTTCTGCCCCCCCATCTTTTTCTCTCTCCCTCTCCCCCCCCCCGTCGTCCCTCTCTCTTCCCCCCTCTTCCAGTGTGTGTCTCCGTCTCCCTGCCTGTATTTCATTCTCCCGTGTGTCCATCTCCCTCCCACACAGTGTCCCTGTGTGTTTCTTCCTCCCCACATCCCGCCTCCCTGTGTGTCGGTCAGTCTCCCCTTCCTCTCCTTCCTGTGTGTCTGACCTCCATTCCCCCCATGCATGCACACACACACGCACACAGCAAAATAGAGTGCTCCTTGTATTGAATTTTGGCCTTTCACATTCCCCGTGAAAATAACAAAGTGAATTTTTAAATGAGGTTTTGTGAGCTGAGTTATTCAGATTTTTGTTTTTGGGTTTTTTTTAGGGAGTTGGGGTTAAGTGACTTGCCCAGGGTCACACAGCTAGTACATGTCAAGCGTTTGGTCTGAGGCCGGAGTTATCCAGAATTTTGAGCTGAAAAATTATCTCTAGGAAATCCAACCCCTATTTGGGGAATGTTGTTGAGTGTAGGCAGGGTGGACTATGGGATTTGCTCTGGTTCGAACTTGAAATCATTACAAGTCTGAGTCCTAAAATATACCTCTTCATCTTGTCTTCTTAGTGAAATCTAAATATAAAACTTAAAATGTATGCTATGTAGCATCTAGCTCAGTATCCATCTAATTTTTCTAATTGATACTCTTCAAAAAGGGAAGTAAGCTCTATTTGTTTAATCAGTAAATCATTTTGATAATGTTCATTGATTGACACAAGATAAATCATTTTCTATGACTAGGAAGGAATATTAGAGGGTCTACTTCACAAGATATAGAGAGAATATTTTTGTAACATACAGTGATGTTATTTTGGCTATTGTATAAGAGGTCCAAACTTGTTTTATGGAGTGAACTGAATGTTTTAGAGTAACATAAACCCATGTTTACCTGGGAGCCAAGCATTATGCCTTTTGTGGTTAACTGTTTGTTTTCTGTGTTGCGAATTATTGACATTGTGAATTATCTCTGCTGCATTTGTGTCATAACCCTACCATCTGTTGGTGAGTGCTTAAGGAATGTAAATGTTATAGTGACTTAAGCAAAACAATTTGGAAAATTATTTGGCAAAATTATTAAAGAAAGTTACATTACTGTTGGCTCCCATTAGCATCAATTTATTTGTGACTGTCCAGTAATGGAAGTTCCTCATTTTAAAGAAGTATGCTCATAGTCTGTAGCTACCTATTCAGAATTCATTTTGATTTCTAATTCTTATAATATAATATCTCACTGTAATTAAATATTTTACTTTATTGCATTCTTCAGATTAAAATTTTTATTTTGTTTTTCAGATAACAAACATTTATTATATCTCCCACCCCAGATTTTAAAAATTTCAAAGAAAAACAAAACCTTCGTAACAAATCAGCATAGTCAGGCAAAACAGGTTCCCACACTTTCCATGTCCAAGTATGTATGTCTCGTTCGGCATCTTGAATCCATAATATCAGTATTAAAAATGCATAGTATGTTGTCATTTGGACTTTTTTTTTTAAGGGTAGGGAATGAAGGAGCTGGAAATCCAAATAAAGGATGATAACTAGACTGGTTTTCTAGATTTGTTGGGTTTTTTTCATTAAAGAGTTTTTTAAAAGTTATGTAAGAGACTAACTTCTTTTTTTGTCCTCAATTGGGAACAACTACTAGTTGTGTTGCTTTAATTTTTAAGCCAGTTTTCTTCATAGCTGTTTGGAAATAGGTACTTAAATTTTTTCCATTGGACAGCAGATGCACTTTTAGGAATGATTTATATCTCCATGTGAAATAGTATTTTTTAATAGTCATTTTTTGTTTCCTGGTAATTCTTATCAAGGTGGAAACTAAATCTTCCACCAGAGAATTGTGTGACTAGTCATTTAAGCTAGCGGCTTATTGTCTTCCCCTTTCTGCAGCTACAATTGTCTGACATACGAAAGAACTCAACCTAAAGGAGTGGACTCAGAATGTATGTGTAAGCTATTGCTTTGTTTCACTTTTAAAGGACTTAGACATACTTTTGAGGTGTTAACTGTTGGATATACTGGAGATTACTGTGCTTCCACATACATGCTCTTCTCAGAGGAGAAACAGTTATATAATTTTAGCAGTCAGTAAGGCAACAAGAAAGATAAAGTTGATTATGTTATGAAAATTTGATATAATGGGAGATATAAATAAGGATAGATCATCAGTTGACTTGGTATTACCTTATCAGGTATGGGAAACCCTTCAACTCTAAGAAAATATGCAAAATTTAAAATAAAACAAGTACTTCCTACTATGCCTGAAGTCTCTTCTGATCAGAGCATCTGCCTCCAGTTTCTTCTCTTTGTTTATAGCTAACCAAAAAGCATCAGGTCTTCTTATGAAGACATCACCATGGTGATAATGTGCCTGTCTGGATGCTTAATTTCTGTCTATCCAAATTGATGGAGATCTCTAAGATACTCAGGAAAACAGTCCTGTCCCTAGGTGATCTCTAGTGCCTATTACCTAGGGTTTTTAATTATTATTTTTCTTATTTCAGCTGTCTTTCAGTATATCTCTACCCCACATTAAGTAGCTGTTGAATTCACTCCAATGAATATTTATTACTCTATTCAAAGCTAGATGCTGGGAATTTTAAAAAAGCTGTATATGAAGCATTAAATTCCTTTAGAGCTTTGTATGTAAAGAACTTAGCAAGCTACCTCACACGTACTTTTTAAAGGACTCAGTTATTTCCTTTATATGGATCCCTTTATTGAGACATCTTCTGTATCTTGTGTTGCTGTGATTAAAATTGGCATTACCATGAGGTCAGTCTAGGGACAAGTTTCTGTGAACTTGTTAGTCTGGGCTTTGAATGACAAATATAGAGCCCATCACCAGGCCCAGGTTCCACATCAAAGCTTTTCTAGCTTAATAAAATCTGCCAGAGCTTGGACTTCACTGGGGGTAGTCTTTAGGAAGCCAAAGCCCCTTTGACACCAAGGTGAAGCAGTAGGAGAATTTTTTTTCCCAACAAAGTAAATGTAATGATATGTCCTGGTGTGTAGAAAGAGTGCTGGATTTGTAGTCAGAGAACTTGCATTCAGATCCACCCGTTCACTCCATGGGTAATCTTGGGCCAGTGACCTCTGTTTCCTCATCTATAAAATGAGGAGGTTGGACTGGACAGCTTCTCCAATCCCTTCTGTCTTTAAATCTGTGGTGTTGTGCTCAGTCTTATGCTAAGAATAAAAGGAATGTGACCAGCATATCATAGAGTATGCTTTTCTTGTGTCTGGTTTACTTGTGCCATCCTGGGTCAGCAGTACAATTTTGTTGTATAGTGCAGAAACTTGTTTGTGGTTCACTTTTTTTATGGTGCAACCAAGCCTTATTACTTGGCTGGACCATTGGGATTAGACTTTGCCAATAAAGACTGTGTGGAAGTTAACAGAGACTATATCGCAGGCTTCACATGTTGAACTGAAATTTAATTAGTTTATGATAGTCATTTCTGCCAGGTTCATCATTGGAAAAATCTAGTAATACCTCAGGCTGAAGCAGTTGAGCCAGATCTTCAGTATCTTCATTTTGGGTAAGTCAGTGTAAGAATTCTACACCATTTGGGTTTCCTAGAGAGGAGGAATGAGCATTTACAAACTGTCAACCCGGAATTCTTGGTTAGACTTCTCTCGAGGCAGTTAGGTGATACAGTGGATAGAGCTAAGTCTTGAGTTCAGATTGCTGACCTTGGACAAGTCACTTAACCTACGTTTGCCTCAGTTTCTCCAGGGTGTTGGAAGGATAGATTCATGTAAAACACTTTGCAAACCTGTAAGTGGTAATTATCATTATTAACTTTGTTAATGTGGTCTTCTCCAGTAGGACTTTGCACTCTTCTAGCTGTCCAGGCAGATTACTAAAGATTAGCAATTTAATTTCTCTTGTAGACTTTAAAGACCTGCCACCAGAGGATTTGAGCTTTCCTTACCCTAAAAGGTGAAACTAATTTCATATGCCTAAAATACTTTTCTTCTTATTTAGGTTTTATGGGAATTCATCAGTTTCTTAGTGTTTCCTACACTTTTTGAACCAGAGACCCCTTGAATCCATTTTTGGAGCCTTTTTCGTAAACATACTATGTTGTCCAACATACTTGTCGTAAATTGTTTTGTGGCCTGGTTGGAAGGATAAGTTGAGTTTATCAGTTTCAAGTATTGCTTAGTTGTATGGAGGAAACTAGGGGGAGACCTGGGATGGATGGAATTAGGAAAGGGAAGTAGAGGA